CCCGCCAGGGTGCTTACCCTGGCGAGCCGCGTGCCAGAGGCTGCCGACCCCTGATCTAGAGAGTACTTTGTATGACAGATATGCAATGCTCTGAATAAACATCACTGAATCAAATTAATCCTTGCCGAATTAAGTTTAATGCCTTGAGGTCCATTGTATAAAAATGAAAATGTTATGTGTTATTGTGAGATTGTATATAACTTCTCTACAGGAGGGGGTATCCTAATACAAATTTTTAGTTATCAGGCCTTCACCCTAGGGAGGGGACCCATTGCCTGGCTGATTACCTATTCCTGATCTCTTAAAAAGTTCTCTAGAGAGCTGCAGACAAAGACAGGATGTTGGGATAAATAACCTGGTGGTGAACTGACTCAAAGTTTTTGTTCTGATCCAGCAAACAGACAGGACTGCTGATCCACAGAGGATCCTAGTCCTTAGGGAAGGGTTGGAAGGACTTTGGCCTACTAAGGACACATAAGAGTTTCTTGTTCTAAGCAAAGAGTGTGATGAACTTCAAATCACAGGAAAACCCTGGATGGGGTTTTGAAAGAGTGCTCCTTCCAGAGCCCATGTTGGAGGGGATGATCTCTGGTAAGCTTATTAGCATGCAGGTAGGCTCTTCTATTGTTCCTCTGTAGTGCTTTTACCTTAAAAATAAAATATGCTTGCTTAGAAAGAACTGTGTAGTAATTTACAACTGGGCAATTATGCTGGGGCAGTTACAACTGGGGCAATTAAGTAAGCTGCAAGCAGTCTCTGAAGATACTTGTCCCAGTTGTAAATTTGTAATAATTGCCCCAGTTGTAAAGTACGCTAGGGCAATTCAGAGAAGCAGTCTCTGAAGATAAAGTGAAGTGGGCCTGCTTAGGCAGAGCGTATTTTGTTGGGAACAACACAGTGAAAGCAGGGAATTGTTCAGCCTGGAAGTACCCTGGTCTCTACCTAAGAGAGGTGACAGACAGGGGAGACCGAAGCCTATGAGTGGGTACCCTTGCTGGTCCACTGAAGGGAAATACAGGTGTAGTTGCCCTGAACTATGTAGTCTGGCAAATTATGCTAAAGTAGCTTGGGCTGCATAATTATGAGAAGGTGGTTGTGGATGGAAATCCTTTTGAGGCTGTAAATTTCCCAGCTCTATATCCTTCAAAGAAATATGTCATCAACCCTGAAGCACACAACAGTCTGAACAATAGTGCAGAAATCTTCATTCAGCAGCTTGAGAGATGTCTCAACCTACCACCTAGTACTCAGCTTTCCTTTTCTAAGCAAGCTAATCAAGAAGCTGGCAAAAAAACAGTCCTCATAGTCACCTGTCAGATGCCAGTTTCTTGGAACTCTCTCAGCAGAGAACACAGTATCAAGACAGCTTTGGTTGTTTTGCCAAATGGCCTCTTCCTGTCCATAGACAACAGACCATAGAGCCATCTCATCCTGCTGGATGCATCTCTGCAACATTTGATTTCATTGATCATCAAATACTCCTGGTCCCATGGGTGAAGAGAAATCCTCTGTAATGGCTCAAGTCATTTCTCTCAGACCAAAATTAAGTCCTTATGGGCAACTGTTCCTCCTCCTCCAGAGCTCTCACCCTACAGAGTCCCACAAAGCTCAACCTTTTACATCATCTTACTCAACATCTACAAGAAGCCATCAAGAGAGCTGGTGGGACAACATGGTCTGAAGTGTGAACAATATGTGGATTACGCAAGAATCACTACAATTCCTTTAGCTCTAGAAAACGTTATCTTTCAATTTTCTCAGTGCCGAAAGAATATAAACATCGGACTCGAGAGCGGTTTGAAACAATGTAAGGTAACTTGAAAGTGATGCTGGTAGGGAGAGTGAAGCACGTTGAAAATTTCACCCCAAAAATGGTGGAAGTACCTGCCCTCCGAGTATAAAAATTGATTCTCAGGAGTCATAACTTGCAAAGAAGCTGAACATAGACTATAGAACCCACTCCCAGAAAAGATAAGAATGACCACTAATCTCACTGCATTGAGAACTAAATGCAAAGCCTATTGCATTGGCTTAGCTTTTCCTCAATAAATTTGCCATCCACATCCACACACACCAATAGAATACAGCTATTTACTCCTACGGGCTGGGAAGGGGAAGATCGAGCGAGATGGTTAGTTTAGTTTTGAAATACTTATGAAATGCTCAGATATTATGCTAATTGATCCCATATATGAACCTAGATATTCAGATATATACCCTGTGGGCCTCAGAGCTGGAAGTGTGTGTACATTTCTTAACAAATAATGCAGTTTCCTTTATTTATTTATTTATTAAACTTAAAGCAGCATTTTGAACTGACTGTGAGGACTCCGCCATAAGCTTTTACAATTGGCAGAATTGTGCATTGGAAGAAGCTCACAAAGTCTTTACTATACATCCCTTTCATTCTGTCTGACTGTTCCATGTAATCATTCCCTCACTCCCTTGAACTCCAAAGTGGATTAAAAAGAGTAAGAACACCTAAGATTAGTGTAAAAAAAAAAAGCCTCCAAAGTGTAACATTTCTTTCACTAGTGTGTAATGCCCTGATTTAGCATATATCTTGTGGAATCATAGACTTTAAGGCCAGAAAGGACTATTATGATAATCTAGTCTGATCTCCTTCATAACACATGGAATATCAAAAATAGAAATTCCATCATGTGGAACCTTAACATCTCAGAAAAGACTTCTTAATGGGGATTCAAATTATTCACTATTTACTGATAAAAGTCACACTACCAAAAAAATAACACTTTTTCCAAAGGTGTTGACAGGAACAACAAAAAAGGCATATTACATAATATACATATAATCCGGGGATTCTGAATGAATTAACAGACTGTAATTCCTAAATTATTAGATGCTGAAAATGCTTAAAGATAATTGTCCTTGAATTTACAACAAGGTCTAGGTTTTGTCCTAATACCTCAAACTCTTATGATGTGTTAATTATCTCCACAGAGGTAATATACATGCAAACAAGTGTATAAATGTATTATTCTTGTGAAGCTTTCCTAGAATTACATTAAATTTACAAGAATTACATCAATTAAGTGTAACTGTTTGATTTCTAACCTTTATCTATTTATACTGAATATTTCTTTTCTTCAAAGGGTTCTACCAACAGTATAAAGTAATGCTGTCGTCCAATCCCATACTTCTATCTGTATATTTAATTATATCCATCTGAAAGAAAAGAAATAACATTATTACATTAAGTCTAATTTAAGTAGTTCACTTCTGACTGGTACAAATGTAATTCATTGTTTCCATGATTTATCAGATTATTTATGAAGTGAACCTTGCCAAATCTTTACCAGTAGCTCCATTCATAAATAATTTCAACATTTTTTATTTTATACACATTTTAAAAGACCATAGCACTGATGGATTATTGTATATGGGCTTTAAAGATTTATCCTAAATTATATACTGTGTGACTGTAACAATTTAAAAAGGTGACATAAATTTCTTCCTTTAACAACAATAAATCTATTAGCACGAATAGTCATCTGTATGTATTTTACAAAACATGTGTTTTCTTGCTAAAGATTGTGTGGGTGAGTTTTAGTTAATGAGAGTGATTTAGAACATGGCATGAGTTGGGTACAGTGCCAGCAGATACTACACAGTCTGTTTGAGCCAATAACAGCTTTGGCAATGTGGCTCATTTGTAATTCACATCATCTCAGCTGTTCCAGTCCTGGGCTTCTGGAGAAGGGACTGTCAGTTATGCAGAAGTGCATGATGGTACTAATTTGTCTATTTAAGAATTTTGACAAGGAACAGGTGCCCATCACAACTCTCTGGAGGAGAACAGGTGCATCCTACACAGTGCTAAGCCATTCTCAGATAAGATCTTGTTTGTTTGTCATCAGTACCATATATGATCCATGGTTTTGAAGGATGCAGAGAGATCTAGCAATATCAACAAAGAATCTGATTTGTTGCTTAAGAGCAGAAGAAGGTAGTCCCTTAGTGCCATGAACAATGGGCAGTATTCCTCAGGGCCATTTTGGTGTCACTGCCGGGTCTGAAACATGACTGTGATATATATATAGAATTTTTGACAGATATTGCTGGAGCTTGGGATCTCAATAACTTTACCAAAGAAATTGGGATTGGAGAGTGGGTGGCATTCAGTGAGGCTGTTTTAAGGGTTGGCTTCTCCAAGGTCTGAGTACTGCATTCATTGGGATAACTGACAGTTTGCCTTTTTGAGGGAGGCACAGGTTATCTCAGTTATCAAGGGGACTAGGTGTTTCTCAGTGGACTTCACTTCTCAAGAAGGACAGTGGGTCAGTTTTAGAGATGCATGAAACACTTCTGGCTCACCTTTAGCAAGCTGGTGCAGTTGTGTTTGAGAGGTACACAAAGGATTCAGTTGTGTCCTATATGTCCTTCATATGTCCTTTTAGCTTTCTTTATGGCTGCTGAGTATATATTGTGACAAAGTCAGACCTGACAGATCTAAAAGGGTGGTTGAAGGCAGGTATATCAGTCTTAAAGCCCTTTTCCTATGAACAGAAAGAAGTTACCTCAGATTAATTATGGTCACCAGAGTCAAACACGTGATCTCTAAAAAACTGATCCCAGTTAGGAGAGAGAGGGTAGAGGAGGGGTGAGAAGCAAACTGCAAAAGAGCTGTGTGCAACAAGGGGAAAAGGCTCCTCCCAGGTAAAGAGTTGTTTTTCTCTATAAGGGAAATCTTGTGTTTATTTCTGTTGGGGGAGGGGACGTGGGTTCCCACGTGGGTTGTGGGTTAGAGAGTGTTGCTGGCAATTGGTAGCAGCATAAGAGGAAGCAGGGCCGGTTCTAGTGTTCTTGTCGTCCCAAGCGCACACACACACAAAAAGCCACGATTGCGATCAGCGGCAATTCGGCGGCAGGTCCTTCGCTCCGAGAGGGAGTGACAGCCCCGCCGCCGAATTGCCACCGAACGTGCCACCCCCCTCTTCATTGGCCGCCCCAGGCACCTGCTTGCTACGCTGGTGCCTGGAGCTGGCCCTGAAAGGAAGTACTCCAGTGGGACTTAGGAAATTTGTCTGTTTGTTTAAAGAAACCTCTAGGCCAATCCTAGGGCCTGCTCCGTAAATAAGGCAACTTTAAAAATTAAAAATCCTTATAGGACTGATTTTCTCCAGGTCCCAACACCAGAGGGAGAAATGCTAAGTTTTGCGATGATGAAAGAGTTGTGTCGCCACAATGTGAAGTTGCATCTTGAGAATTTCACGGGTTGCCAAGTGGATCTTGCCCCATACGCACTTCATTCAGCTGGTTTTTTGCTTCACTAGGTAGAGTTCATCAGAAAAATCCCAGTAATTTACAGAAATGGTATGAGGGAAGGGGTTTTGAGGAGCAATCAATGGCTTCAGTCAGTAGTTGGTTGTCGTGTTCTGCTAGTTTGTCAACTTCTTCCGGACATTTTCTAGAAGCTTCATTCACTGAAATGGAAATGATTGATTCATTTAATCTTTATCATGAGAAGGTGATGGTCTCTGCAAGAGGACAGATTGTTGTCCACTCTACCTGATCTAATGCCAAAGATGAGCTCTGGTGTGTGTTCAGTTTTGTGGGTGATGCTGAAGACAACTTGAGAAAAATATATGGTAAGTAGGAAATAGCGAATTATGTTGTTAGATATGTGGGCTATGTGGATGTTCAGATCTCTCAGGACAATGACTCTTGAGAAGTCCATTATGATGTTAAATAGGAGCTCTGTTATTTCTTCCAGGAATCTCACTGGCCTTCATTGGATTTCTCACCAGATTATCTGTACATCAAGGATATTCTTGTGTTTATTTCATCCCTGGATTCACATATTAGGACTGTACATACAGATGACTTAATTTTCAAGCTGGGACTCTTCTTGCATTTGAGATCTAATGAGAAAGTATGGCCACATTGCCTTCTTGCCTCGTGTATGATGCAGACAAAGACCCACCGCAGACAGTGAGGAGACCACCAAGCTAATCTTCATTTATGAGCTAACAAAAACAAAATTTGAGATTATGGGCCAAATTCAATCCTGGACTAAACACGATCTTTCATTGGATTTCTACCCAGATCAGAGCTGTACTTGGTCCTAGATCTACAGAGATGAAAGACCAGTAAATAATCCATTGTGACATCTAGACACCAAAAAGTGACATGTCTTGAGGTGATTTGGTATATATTATACACTAAGTGTGCATGTGATAGAACCTGTTGACCCAATATAAAGATATATACTGTAACTAAGAACAATATTGATAGATATAAATTTACCATATGGGTGTTTATATATACACTCACAATTTATCCTCACTGTACCATATGCCACCACCACATGATTTACTAACATTCAGATAGATCTAGAGAAAAAAGCACACAGCCAGCCAATTAAAATCTGACACTTACATAACGGTTTGTACAGCTGCACTGCATCAAAATTTACAACACTTTTCCCCTCTGTAGTGCAGTCAACCATAACAAATGCTAACATGACACAATTCCACTCACAAATAAAAGTAAGGACTAACATTTTGATTTGAACCTAGCATAGTCATCAAACAGCTTTGCAATTTATTATACTGAGCTGTTCCAGTATCAGAAAGAAATCAATAAAAAAGGAAAAGGAAAAAGGAAAGATTTTATGTGATACAAATAAAACAGGCTATAGAGCAGAGTGGTGAAAACTATTTATTTCATTCATTGAGGATGCTTGTACAAGTTGCTTACTGTTCCATTCCCATTTACCAGTTGTAAGTTTTCTGGCCTTCACTCTCTTTCACTATTATATTGTAACTTTTGGTAAATAAGGTTCCCATCTTTCCTATTTTAAGGTTTAATTCTCCTTCTAACTTTTATATATCAAACTAACTTTCCCCTCACCCCGGCAAACATACACACACTTTAAGGCTATTTTAAATATTTAGTACAGGCAAATGTAAACAGTCAAATAAATGAAATCTACAGAACTACGTATCTAAAAGATTCAAAGCCCCAAATTACTATCTAACATTACTTCAAATTATTAGACGTGGTGCAGTAGGAGTCTAATTTACCATATTTGAATACAAAAATCCTTCAGAAGTACACCGCTACCTCGATATAACGCGACCCGATATAACATGAATTCAGATATAACGCGGTAAAGCAGTGCTCCGGGGGGGGAGGGGGGGCTGTGCACTCCGGTAGATCAAAGCAAGTTCAATATAAAGTGGTTTCACCTATAACGCGGTAAGATTTTTTGGCTCCCGAGGACAGCATTATATCAAGGTAGAGGTGTATTAGATTTGTCAGTATTTTTCCACTCTATGCTGGATTGTAACTGAATCCTGCTACTTTAATTCCAGTGCTTTGCATGGTGTGGTCCTTTCCTAAATTTGGCTTTAAGTTGTGATGTTACCACACATTAGCTGCCCCTTGCTAACTAACATGTTTTAAAACTCTAGTCTAGACAAGGCACCCTACCTTTAACATGTACTAAACTAGTCAAGTACTAACATCATACTTTTATTCCTAGTCTAGATAAATGCAAGGCAAATATGGTGTACAAGTGTGATAGTCTTTGCTCATGGGGAGCATTGCCTAGCAGTCAGGGCTTAGGCCCTTCAACCTGCAGAGTGGGTTTTTGGTGGGAGAACCTGGGCCCTCCCATTGCACTGGGCCCCATGAAGGTGACATAAGGGTCTGACACCCAGGAGCACATTAAGGCTGCCTTTCCTGGGCCACTTCCTACCACTCAGCTATTGTCCAAAATTCATAATCTACCCGAGGAGGCTGTGAAGGGGGTCAGCTCACCACTTGGCATCTCTTTACAGCCAGGCATGGCATGGTAGCTCTCTCTCTCTTGGGGAGGCCTCCTCTTGTGTCTTGGCCCTCTGGCCAGGTCAGTCCCAAGTCTCTCCCCTTCCAGGATAGTCCATAAACAAAACACAGGAGCTGCAAGCTAGAAGTCTTTTCTCTTCCCTGGTCTGTTCACAAGGATGCTCTTCTGCTTCTTTTCAACTCCTCTTCCAGTCTGCTTCTTTTGAAAGTGTGATGGCGCCAGGCTAGCTGAGCCCAAAGCAGCTCAACTGCTTGCTGCCCAGTGTGGGGTTTGTATACCCCATCACAACAGGGTACACATGTAGTCACAGAATCATAGAATCATAGAATATCAGGGTTGGAAGGGACCTCAAGAGGTCATCTAGTCCAACCCC